ATGCAAGCAGTAGCATAAGTCTAGCAGTCAGCTTCACAAGGGCTGATGTGGTATACGCATATATGAAAGACACGCAGCATCTATAATTGTACGTGCATGAGCCATGCTGAATAGGATATTATATTGTTCGAAGGATATTGCTTGTGAAGCGATCACTATCAATCTTCATTAACTACTCACTCAATGTCACACCGATCATTCATTCAAGGCTTAACGTTTCGGTTAGATGTCAATATTAATTCATTGTTCTGCTGCCCGAATAGATATCTATTTTCTTGAACGGTTCCAAGATAATTTCGATGTGGTATGAAGTAAGATTGTTTGGAGGCAGTATTAGACTGGCACCAACATGAACGGATTCAGTTCACAATTTGCGAAGAGCTGTTTGGAAAGGCAGATTGATTCTTTCTTCCTACTTCGATCCACTGAAATTCTTCCTACTTCGATCCACTGAAGCCTCAAACACTACAAATACAACTGATCAAACGTACGGAAATTTCAGAGAATATATATTCCTGCACGGAAACGCGAGCATTGTGGCCAGCAACGTTACAAACGTTTGATAGCCTAGCTAATCCAGGTATATTTCCGTAGAATGAATCGTGACGAATGATTCACAACGAACTCAGAAATAGTAACATTTGGTACTCTTCTTGAAATACCTCACTCAAGCAGATGCTGGAATTAATGAGACAAAATGAAAAAAAAAACGATAAAGAAATTCGTTCTGCTGTTCAGAAATTACGTTGTACTATATGAGATCTAGAGGCATTTGGAGTTTTTAAAAGGGAAACACTTGAAGAATTGGAGCGAGGAACGAGTCAGACCAAAATTGTTCACTGATGAACAAAAGCATCATGAATTGCTCTGTGTTAAACACTCACTTCTCATTTAATCGACTCTAACAACGAAATGAACCTCTTTCTTAACGATGTCCATTCAGTTTGCAACAAATATCACGTTTCATTGTATATCCATCCAGCTGACTGCTTTGTGAATGTTCCGGCAACATTGAGTCTGCATTTTTTGTCGTTTTTCATTCAAAAATGTTTGCAAATCACGAATTCTATGTGCTATTCAACACTGAGCCTTTTACACATTCCATTCCAAATCGCGTTCAGTTTGCTTTTGAACCAAGATTCTATTAGGGGAGTATTGAAACAGAATGATGTCACGATTCCTAATAGATTGATATTTTCAATTTGATCTCGTGCTGATTAACGAACTCGATAGAGGATCACATTACGACGAAGCAATTGTAAACAATGAATGGAATTTCGAAGTAAAATAAAGAGGCATTTTCCGCAGTAACAGATTTCTGTTACATGTGACTAAAACAACCAAGTATCAGTGAGATCTATCAATGAGATGCTTACGAAAGATATAAACGAAACGCATAAGTGAGATGAATGACTAAATATGGATTAAATGCTACTATCACTGCAAAACGCAGCAGTCTCAGTGGACACGTGTGTATAACCTATACAAACAACGTTGGTGGATTAGAATCTGTCACGTGTAATCATCCATCAGAACGTCCCAGGTCTTGCCCTGCTCAGAGCAGTGAAGAAGAAAAACGTATTCAAGAGAGTGAGCATGCTTCTGGTCGTGTGGGGAGTTACATTACCTTTGTTTACGAAGTAAATATGCAGTGAATAATGTGACATCTGGGGATTCGTTCACTGAAGAAGGAGTGATCATGTTTTTTGCGCATAACAATTTTTCTGTTGATGAGACAATGGGTGTGATTAGGATGAGAAGAGATTAATGACTGGATGAATGTGATTGCTGGTTGTTACGGATGAATGGACGATGCGATCTTCTGGAAGCTAATATCTCTTGAGATCCCGGCACATCAAACCACACGCAAACAACCTCTTCAGCGAATCAAGTCCGATCCATCCGAATGCACGAATGAAGAGTGCCTGATTCGAGCGGAGTTTCGCGTTAAAAAAACATTCGCTTTCTACCAAACACACCAATCGAACGAATTCAATCCAATATGCACTTGAAACGAATTGAAAATCGATCATTAAAATGAATGACTGCAAAGGGAATGCAACGCATTGCATTCCGTTCCGTTCTTATTCAGTTCGTTTTTTCTTGGAATCTTTTGCTGAAAATCGAATTCAAAGTGCTTAAAATCCACATCAAAGTTGAGAAGTGAGTGCAAATGCTGTTATAATGCATACTTTTTGCGTGAACAATAGTTGACTCATTGAGCAACTTCGTAACCTCTGCCATCAAGACGAGCGATATTTAGTGTGATTATGCGATACGATTAATTCTTACAAACAGTTCACTTTGCAAGCAGTCATTTAGATTTCATGGCCTTTTGAAAGGTATTCCATTGATTCGTCGACCTCTAGGAGGAACTGGGAATACATAGATAAGGTTCATCAAAACAGTAAGCTTCATTCATGCATTTAGCTTCAAACTGAGTAACCACGCACATCACTGAAGTATGCTCCAGAAAAAAAATTTATTTGTCATTCATGTTCTGGCTTCGGATTATAGTTCATTGAAGTTAGCAGAATATCTTCGGAAGTGAATCAGCGTGACCACAGCCAGCATTCGTCATCGGCCGCGATCGATGAATGTGCAGTGCTAATGCAATCCCATGTCAGCAGCGCCATGCATCAAAGACGAGAATAACATTCAGTTTTAATAATAACATTCGCTAGCTGTGTTTACATTTTGACATCTCGACGTCGTCATGTAACGCGTATGGAGACAGACTAACGAATAGATAATCGCATCGAACACGGAAACTTCACGAATGTACACGATACTCTTCTTGCCCACTATCCTAGTAATAAGACATCACTTCACTAATCCTACTATAAGGCATGATAATACTTATTTTGAGATATAACATTATTGGACCATGTGCTGGGAGGGAAATTTAGGTAAAGTGATTACCATATGCATTATCATGGATTGGCATTGGTCGTTATCACAGTTGAAGTCGGGAAGCGGATAGCATCGTCAGCTAACAATTAGCTAGGCGGCTTTGCATGGTAAGAGAAAGAAGCAGTGCAGAGGCTGAATCGAAGGCGTCGTCCTCTTTACGTTGCATATTCGTTTTAATCGCTCAAAAAATCAAAGAGCTAATTGCGTTCCAATGGTCTTATGGCATTTTCAGCAATAACATCGTTTTATGAACGGGTGAATAATCCATTTAATCTGCACTGCTCGTTGCATAGCTGATTCGTAAGGATGATGCTCTTGTTCCGGAACTTTGCGAATATGTCGATTGAACTATACGTTTTTCTTGGGTGCATTCGAAGGTCCATCCGTGTACTTGGGCAAAAATTTACGAAAATTGCTCGAGTGAAGAATTTTTGATAAAACTCAGGGAATTTCTTATCATGCTGGCAAGTAGCATCAGATTTATATGAGGACGCTTCTTGGCACTTTTCGATTTATTGAATACCATTCTTCAAACATTTCATTCATTTTTGAGTCTCAACACAATGCAGTTTCCGATTTCTTCACTTAGAAGAGTGCTGTTATCTTCAAGGGGAAAGAGTTACGTTCCGGTCACAAGGCGTTTTTAAGCCATATCTGATCGTGAGCATTAATGAAGGGATTTGAACTGAAATTTGAAAATTCATCGATTAAACGAAATAATCAAAATTTTCGAAGATCTATCGAATCACTGAAAATATCTTCGGATGTGCTTTGTGCTTATCCAATTTTCCGTAGAAACGATTCGAAAGTCAAAGTAACTGCTATTTTGATCAGATATCATCAAAGTTATCCTCATATGCGGATTAAGTCTCATTACGTATCACTCTTCGAATCCGTTTCCATTTTTCAATATTATACAAATGACACCAAAGCAAATAATTGTGAGCATGATAAATACATTTATCCTATCCCAAGCGTACAACGCGTTGTCAGTGAGTCAATCCTTCCGCTTTTTCAATTCATAATCAACCTTGCTCAACATCTTGCTCACATTGAGGATTATGCCTGAAGTCTTGTTCGAAGAAAGTTTCATGTAGGATACTGCTAGAATTACTGTAGATCTCACTCCCATCATGGCGCTCTAAACTTGCCTTCCAGGTGGGAATTTCCTGTCCACTTTGGCATCTCTGAGGTGATTAGAGATTGATTCGATTGGAAGCACAAAATGGGTCCCTGAAATTCCCCGACTATCAGTATTGCTGAGACGGAAAAATCGGAGACAAAATTCTTCAGTTAGGGATCCCAAAATGTTATCGGCTCGAAAAAAGTCGGGGACTCAAAAACGGGGTCCCCGAAATTGCCCGATCTCCGCACCTCACTACTCTTAATATAGCGTTTTTGTAGTAGTAATGAACAAGCGTTCGCATTGCTCAAAAATCGAACCGAAACGAAGTTTGAGTGCTGACTAGCACGCACGATGGCACTTGTTAGGTAGCACTTGTCACGGATGCAATTATCCGTCACGGCTACTTGTCAGGGTGGGAAGGGAGTAGTGACGAAGCTGATCATTTAATGTCATCGTTGAAGGTGCTTGTTATGTTTTGCAGATGTCGATCTGCATCACGTCAATGACCCTCACCTGCTTTATGTACACGTATGCGTTGAACTCCTTTAATGTGCAAAAAAGAAAACCTCATGTCACACCCGCTGGAGTACCATCTCGCACTCGTTGGGGTGCGAGCAACATCGGTTAAGAATAACTTATGCATATTTCAGGTTCTTTATTGTAAAGGTCGTTGCTGTTGACGCATTGGCATCGCTGAGCTTTTATATTATATTTGATCGGGTGCAGTTGCAGTGTGTTTGTCAACGACGAGAAAGGAACTCATCGAACGAATATGAGTGATAAAAAGTGGGTTAATGTCAATTAGATGGCACTTCACTTCCCGTATACGGTTACGGAATTCCCATGTCTCTCACTGGTTACTTTAAAATTTCTGAAGGAAATTGACTGGAATCGATCGTAAAGTGATGTATTTCGAAGAGCAGTATCTATGATAAAATTGAGTGTTTGAATTTACTTTAGATTCGCAACATTGAGTGAGCTGAATAAGGATAAGAAAAGTCGAGCGAGAAGTCGTAGCAGTAGTGCAAGCTCAAACGATGAGAAACATCAGCAAGGATTTTTTGTTGGTGGAAGTGAGCACAGGTTTGACAGTAATATGTTTTATTGTTTGGCTGATGTGAGAGGACGATTTTTTTTTCAGTATCATCATCACTGTAAACTAGTTTTGTTCAAATCGAACTCACTATCAATGGATAAGTTGGCTAGACTAAAAGCCTGTAGATCAAACGAATTCAATACGCAATTTTCGAAGTATCGTAGAACCTCGATACTTGGAAAATCCCGAAAAAAAAATTCGTGTTTTCTACAGGATTGTTTTCAGTGAATGTGCTCCGATTTTTTCATGATTCTTTGTTCGTTTCAGTGGTCAGCAAGTGCTCGGACCAAGTAGTTCATCACGTAACTCATCGCATAATGATCTAATTTCTATGCTGTTCGAATCAGCTAGGTCACACGGTGCCGAAGCAGTGACACCAGATGAAAGCGGTGCCATGAGCCGGCACAGTAATCACGCAGTTAAGTTCAAATCTGCTGGATATCGTTTGGGTGATTCTCATGCTCCATCTGAAAGTGTTCTGCCATCGCATCCAACGCCCACTGATGAGCAACAGCAAGAACAGGTAAACGTTACTTCTGTACACTCGCATTTCGTATTGAGAATTTACTCGTTTTCTTCTCTTTCTTTCAGCAAGAAGTAATTCTGAAGATGTGGGAAAACGGCTTCTCGATAGATGACGGTCCATTGCGTACGTTCGATGATCCGGAAAGTCGATCGTTTTTGCAGAGTATCATGCAGGGGTAGGATTGCTGCTTAGAACTTGCATTTTCTTGTTGCGGAGCGTGTGCTTATGGTACGATATCTTGTCAGTGAGAGTATGAATGAGCATTTGGATGTTCGCAGCAAGCGAATGTTTCTTTTGAACCTGTTAAGACCAAGAGGGGTCGATTGCGTTTCAGGCATATCCCGGTTGAGTTGGTTCGTCAGTATCCGGGTCGTGTGATCGACTTGCGCATGGAACGTAAGACAGAGCCATATCAAGAACCTAAACTCAAGCCATTCAGTGGCCACGGTCAACGTCTCGGTGATATTGTGCCGCCAATAGTGGGTGCGGGCACACTTGGTCAGAAATTGGATAGTAGTGAAACGGGGCACTCATCTGAGAGCGTTTCTGGTAAGCAGTTTAGTTTTTAATATGTTATTTGAACTACGTTCTGTTTGAACCAGTTGATGTGCTTCGTAATGCTGAGATGAATGATAGTGTGTGAAATTGGTGTGTGTGTGTGTGTGTGTGTGTGTGTGTGCGCGTGAGCAGGTGAAGCTGTCGATTGAGCAGTTGCTGCTCGCAACAAGAAACGACAAAGTTTCATTTTGACTCGATGGATGGTTTCATTATGATGGCAGTGGCACGTGAGAATGGTGTTGAATGTAATATTTCTATATGGATGATGGTGCATTGTTCAGAGACTGATCCGATAACGACCGCGCAACAGTCGATAACTTTGCGTGATGGTGAACCGACAACGCAGGTTCAGATTCGTTTGCCGAATGGCCAGCGGATTATTGGACGCTTCAATCACACACATACAGTCGAGGAAGTGCGCTCGTTCATTGTTGCGTAAGTTGTTGGATGTTTTGATCGTATTTTCGGAAGTTTTTGGAAATTAATTCATCTTATCGTTAGTTCAGATTCAGGATGTGCAGGAGGAGGTGATCGATTGTGTAGATTTGTTGCTAATTTTTTTGGGCATTTCTTGTGACATCAGCAGCATCCATTTAAAGCATCGATTTTTTGGCATCTCAGTGATATCGTTTTTCAGCGCGGTGCCAGAGTTCGCATTCCAGCCGTTCTATATGATGACAACGTTCCCGAGTAAAGTGATTGAGCAGGAGCGAGAGACGTTGAAAGACGCAGGTCTATTGAACTCGGTGATTGTGGTCAGGCATACGTGACTGATGCATTAATTGCTTTCTTCTATTTATTGGTTAAGATGCTGTTGGATAACTGTTCTCTGTGTGATGTGAATTGTGCAGACGCTTGAGACATTCGCTGTCAAGAAACGGTGTTTCTGAAGTGATTTTGCTTTCTCTTAAATTATTTATGATCAACAGATGATTTTCATATTTGAATATTTTTGTTCACCTTAACCCAATCCCGCTTTGCACTCGATCGCTGTGTTTTATTTCGATTGTCTGATTAAGTAGCATTAAGTGACAATATTCGAAAGAAAGTTGAATTCAATATTATTCATTCTTTGATGTTTTCAATTAAACATAGCGATATAGCAAACGTGAAGCAGCATTTGACGTTGTGTGGTACATTCATAAAAATACTGAATATGCCATTCATCTATTCGTTCTCGATGTAATATGATCGATACTAAGCGAACGTTCGTGGTTGTTGTGTGTCGTGGTGGATTGAGATAAGGAGCTGAATAAACGTTCTTTTTTTTGTATTGAAAAATGTGAGGAATGATATGGTCGGCCGTATCGTTATCCGGTTGTATGCCGTTGCTTTATTTCTTATCGTTTTATCATTCTATATCCATCATTGATTATTGCCATTGTTTGTGCGGTGCATTTTCGCTTCCACTGCGTGGCATGTGCGGAAAAGAAAAATTTAGTTACGATGGGATTGAATGGAATTGATTTGTTTTTTTCTGGAAAATGCTGAAATTATCGATGGATTGCGTGCATTCAGAATCGTCAGAGAAGTATCTCTAAGGGTTTTCCTGAAGAATATATTGAGTTGTGGAGGATGTTTGTTTTTGTGTGATTTCATTTGGCGAAGTATTGCGTTTGAGTGCTCGATGCGGTGAGATTAATTAGTGAAGCGGATTTTCAGGAGAATGGGTTTGCTGGAGTTGACAGGTTTCGATAAGGTGCTGAAAGCGTTCAGAATAATCAAACAAATTGGTGGCGTACGAGCTGCGATCAGAAAACGATATTTGTGAGTTGTTTTGGTACATTCAATTCAAGAAGTTGTCAGATTTTGATCTGATAGTGTAGCGATGCAACATCGTGTGTTGATCAGTAACGTTCTGATTTATAGAATGGACGAAACACGGGTTGGAACGTTGGTTGGCGAGGATAAATTCGGCCATAAGTATTATGAAGTAGGCCTTTATTATGTTTAGAAGGTGATTAGAAGAAGTCGGGTGCTGAGCTGATCACAAGAGAGACAGTGAGGCCTGCAGTATAATTTTAGTCTGTGTTCAAACTCATCATGAATGCCATCAAATGTTCACGGTTTTTAATTATTGATAAAGTTTCGTGTTCATGTCGATAATATTGACGAATCTCGAATTGAACTTGAACAGATATCATCGGTTTAGAACAACGAATATTATATGCCAAGAAATCGTTGGGTTGAGTTTCCTGAGTATAAGTGGCTTGAATACGATGCAACACAAGTACCACCTGAATGGTATGTTCATTGAGTGGTTATTTCGTGAGAATGATAGAAGCTGTCAGTATTGATGATAGAAGCAGTATGATAATGATGACAGCGTTATGATAATATTGACGAATCAAACGAATATTTACGATTCTTAGGCATCGTTGGCTACATCATATGACAGACAAAACACCTATTGAAGATCCTCCAGTCGAACGAAAATGGATTCTAACTCACGAAGAAAATCTCAGCATATTTGAGTAAGTCTTCAAATCAGTTTACATTCATTTTTCGATAATAACTATCACTGTAATATTCTCCCATACTTAAATGTACCAGGCAACCCGTCCTCCAAAAACTATGGAAACGTTTTGCTGATTCTGTGCATTTAAGTGACAAGAAATTCATCCCGTATTCAACAACGCGAGCCAAGATAACCGGTTGGCAGCCAGGCACGAGAACTGGAAAGCCGTGATTTCTTGTAAAAGATATATTGGTGATAGATTCTACGTTTAATCAGCGATCAGTCAATCATATTTTAATGTAATCCATCTGCCAAATGTGTGAAAATTGATTAGGTGAATAGCAATGTAAATGAATTGACTTTTATTGATTTGTTTCGCTCATTAAAAGTTTTGTAAAATAAATCACATTGAATCGAATCACTTTTTCAATCGCTTCATTGAAAACAGGAGTGTAACTTAAGGTAGGTGGTATATGGAGATTGCTATGTTACTAAAACAGTTGATGCCGTTGTTAACGAGAAACGCGTGCACACTCGTGCATTCCTGAATGATCGAGTTCTTATCAGAAAGTACAGAGCAGTGCTAGGTGCGGGCACGGAAAAAACACTGGGACGGGGAATTCGCCGAGAATGGCCACAGGAGAAACAAATCGGCACTGGGGAAGTCGTGGAAAAAACTCAATCTCGTCCCCGATCCTGGAAATCCCCGCACCACTCTAGTATTAGGATGGATGCGCTCTGCTGTCGTCTACTTGCAACCAATGATTCGCAAGCTGCGGGATCAAAAGGTTTTTTTCGGTTCAAATGAATCACTGACATTTGGTAGCTGGAACTAAGACCTGTAAGATAGTTCGTTTTTCGGATCCGGGAGAACAAAGCAAAAATTGGATCAGAAACAATCACGGTGAAAGCCTGAGAAGAGAACATCAATTTCCAAATCTCTTTTTCGAGCAATTGCTCACTTCTGTTATGGATTTGGTAATTTTATGAAGATGCATAATATATACGTTTGAATCTCAATTAAACTGCGAACAATTTTGCCGATTCCCTCAACGAGCCGGCACTCAAATTACCACTGATCTCTACAATTCGACTGGTGCTTATTGTTACAATACATACATCAAATGAACACTTAACGCAGTAGGATTATCTTTGTGTTGCCAACGAATGAACAAAATCATCGGTTAACACTCGATTTTATTCTATTTTCAATAGCATACGTTTGGAATAAATTTGCATCCTGGGACTTATCAATGCCACACAAAGAATATTGGTTGCCTTGCATTATTATTCCGAATGCTCCTCTTTTCCATGCCTTCATGATCATCAACCTACGATGAAAGCTGCTCATCGATAAGTGTTGCGATTTATTGTGCAACAAAAAAAGCACAGTATTCGAAATCAGAGGAGCGTACATATGCATGTACGACTGCAATTCATCAGGACGAAAATATCCGCGCAATAAAATTGTGTTCGCACGTTTTCTATTTTAAGTGTTTAGGGAAATTAATTACATTATAATATATCTTCGTAAAGGCAGATGGTTCTTCACACCTGTGCATTTTTCGACAACATGTGCGTGCTCTTCAGGGAGAAGGAAATCTTTTGAGTTCGTTTTATTTATACCGATGTATCGTCAAATTTCTCATTTGAAATGACTTCTGAAGAATGTTTATGAACATTATTAAGCTGAAAACTGTTTCCGATCGTAATTTTAATGCACTTCGAAATCTATCACAACAAAGCATGTCCTTAACCGTAGAACTGTTTCGATGATGAGTTGATGAGACTTTCAAGACCGAAATCGCTCATCAGCACTCTCTCCCTCTCTGTTGCAGTCATACGTCTCTCTTGTGGTAATAATGTAGGGATGTATTTGCTCGCATCTGTCTGTTTGGCTGCCTTCGTGCTAAGTTCAGACACGCCTATTGTCCCTTCAAGACAACAACGTCGTGCGTGCGGCTTGTGCATTAAGAATTCGATCGTGAAGCGGACTTCGCTTGCAGATTATATTTTTCAATTTTATGTTTTATTCTCAGATCTGGTTCAGCAATTGCAAGTGGAATAGGTTCATGTTCTGTTCAAATGGTCACAAAGTGATGCTTTCAACAAATCACGCTTAATTGTGTGCGCTTTTCGTGTGAATCTCTCTTCTACATTCACTTCTGTAGAGGTTTGGTGTGGTCGTTTCATAATATGATTTGTTGTGATAACTCAGGAAATGAGCGGTGAATTCAAACCGAGCGGTAGCAGCACTAGCTCGACGCCGAACTCTCTGAGCAGTCAAATGAATCCCACCCAAGGTGTGGCCACCCCTCAACCAAAAACCGTCGGACGTGTTCAGGGATCGACTCCGGCTAGTAAGTTGCTCAATTACTTGTTCATTTCGTTCCCACATTGTTCACTCAAATAACATATTTGTGATGCCATGATAAGTATGGAAACTCAGTGGATAAGCTTATGAGTGTACTGACTCGTCACCAGCCTTACTGCAATCTTTGTCGAAACTAATAATTTTATGTTGAGGTTGTCTGTAAATTAGCTAAAATTTCCACAACACCCGCAGCCTGAAACGTTTATTAATGTGAATTCAGATGCTGGTTCAATATCTGGCTCATCCATAACGACACAAAGCGTTGCACCACAGTTTGCTGTTGCAACTCCGCAATCGATCACGCACAATGCTAACCCAGAGGTGTGATATTGGTGTTGTTCTCGAATCTAATTCTCAGTCTTAACGAAACAACTGCAATCACCTATTCGATTTGAAGGTTTTATCGGCGTTCGAGTGTCCTGTTTGTATGGACTATATGATGCCACCGTACCTACAATGTCAAAGCGGTCATCTCGTCTGTGGAAATTGCCGACCGAAGTTAACGTGTTGTCCTACGTGCAGAGGACCTGTCCGTAAGTCTTCCTCTCTCGAATATCTTCACCAATCCAATTTCTTTAGAAAATATCCATTCTTCAAAGCATCCATGAACGAAAACATGTGTATAAGCGAGGGCAACTTTTACTTCTGCAAGAATTGTTATCAGAGAAGTGCTAAGTTTTCAACATTTGTCAGAAGGAGGGAATTATCGGGAGGGTGCAATGATGCATTGTTTCCGTAATTGAATGTTGAACTGAATTCAGCAAGTGTTCGCAACTTAGTCTTGGAAAAGATAGCCAACACGGTGATGTTTCCATGTAAATTCTCGAGTTCGGGCTGTCCACTAACATTCTCGCACGTTGAGAAAGTTGAACACGAAGAGATCTGTGAATATCGGTCAGTATTTTTGTACTTGTGATAGTTGTATTTTTGCATCGATTAGTCCAGATCAATGAATTTGTCCCTTTGGAAAATGTTTCGAAGCAACGCTTTTTCCTTGATCAAAGCTGTACTTAGCCTTTTCCGTGTCTTGTTGTTGGTTATAATTTGTTGGTTTGAGAGTCATTTTTGTAAATTATTCGGTCGAGTAATCGTATCTGAATGCTCGATGCATTTCAGACCATACTGTTGTCCATGTCCAGGTGCATCATGCAAATGGCAAGGAAATTTATCTGAGGTGATGGGTCATCTAATGAAAGTACACAAATCAATAACAACGCTTCAAGGTTCATACACACTAGTATTTCGGTGGTTTGCACATTTTNTTTTCTGATCGAGTTTGGTATGAGAACGTTATGTGATCATCTGCTCAGATATGCGTGCACGTGTTCGTGACATACATCGTCACAAAATTAGAAATCAGTTCAAATTATTTGAAAGTGGTAATAGAGATATTATGAAGTGTGACTTGCAGGTGAAGATATTGTGTTCCTGGCAACAGATATAAACCTGCCGGGTGCAGTGGACTGGGTGATGATGCAGTCATGTTTTGGTTACCATTTTATGCTTGTTCTTGAAAAGCAGGAGAAGTTTCAAGACGGCAATCAGATGTTTTATGCAGTTGTGCAGTTGATTGGTGCCAAAAAGGAGTCTGAAAATTTCATGTACAGGTGCGTTCAGTGTTTGAGAGATGTTCTATCGACGTCATAATTGTATTATTTTGATTATCATGAAAAGAAATTGAAATTGCAGACTTGAACTAGCCACTCATCGACGACGGTTCAGTTGGGAAGCATCACCGCGAAGTATCCACGAAGGTGTGGCACATGCAATCTCACTGTCTGATTGCATGGCGTTCGATACGCAAACCGCACAGTTATTTGCTGAGAATGGTAATCTCGGTATTAATGTAACAATATCATTGGTTTGATGAGGTTATGGCTATTGCGTTGTTATCATCAAACCAATAATGTGGTATGTATCTGTTGGTGTTGCTGTTGCTGTTATCAGAGGAATATTCTGTGCTGTTGGGTTGTTTATAACCGTTAATCAGTCTCTCCACTGATACTGAGCATGTGAATACAAAGAATTGTTGACG